ATACAACACGTTATTAATAAAAAATAATAATAATAATAATAATAAAATTATAGTGTTACAATAGCTGAAATAACAAATAAAAATTTTTAAAAATATATAATAAAAATACAATATTTAACGTAAAAGAATTTAATAAGTTAATAACGGTAAATTATTATATTATTTTATTATTTTTATATTAATAGCATTGTTGATATTTTTAAAATAATTAACATACGTTAGTAAAAGAAATTTTAAATATATATTTAAATATTTTAAAAATTACTTTCAATAATATGAATATTATTTTATAAACAATAAATTTATATAATACAAACAAATAAATAAATATATATTTATTTATGATTAATATAAACTAATTTTATAAAAAATGAAGAATTTTAAATATAGATAAAAATATTTATTTATTAAATAAAAATATTTTGAATGGATACTATGTACAAGATGTTAGGAATTTAAGTTAATTAATTTGTATTTGTTGATTATGTTTCAAATTGATAAATTTATTAAAAATATAAACATGTCAATTTGTTATAAAATAAATTAAAATAAAAAATATATAAATTGTTATATGATATATTTTTGGGACGGGAAAATATAAAATAGAATCCCTGAACTTAAAAGTTGTAGTCCCTCGTTCTACCATATTTTTAGTTCATTTGGGCTTGATAATTAAAAAAATTAAATATTTTATCGAAAAGACAAAAAGATAAGTTTGAGATATTTTTAAAAATTTAATTAGTAATTAAAAAGAACGAAAAGATAATATAATAAAGTTGGTTGTATTTACTGTAAATAATTGTTGAAAGAAAATGTAATAATTAAATATTAACCTTTCGACTTTTCAGAATAAATTTGGCGGATGAAAGAAGTATTATATATAAAACAATGAGTTTCAAATTTGTTTGTTTAAAAAGTTTGAATTTAAATTAAAATTTAAAAATAGTAAAATTTTGAATTTAAATACTACCTCCGTCCCACATTAGTTGTTTAGTCACTGTAGACACGAGAATTTATGATAAATATAATTAGTAAATAATTAAGAATGTATTAGTAAAAATAATTAATCTATAATATAAATCATTATAAATTAAGATTAAAATAACTAATTAGTTTAATTAAAATTATAAAAAAAATTAGAAAATTTAAAATAAGATTAAAGATGGGTAATCATTTTTCAAAAAAAGAAAGTGACATGAGACGTGGGACGGACAGAAAACAACAACATAGACATGGTAAATAGGACGGAGGGAGTAATATTTTATACGATTTTTTTAATAGAATTTATTTATCTATATATCACATAAAAATAAGTATTCAGTTGAATAATTCTAAAATAATTAAAAAATAAAATCGATGAATTGTATTAGTTACCCGCTATTTTACTCAATAATCACGAGTTCACCTTTACATCATCAGTACATCAATTACGGACAAGCCAACCTTATTTTCGATCGATCGATTGATCGGGTTGATCCACACCACCGATTGTATCAAGTCCAAAAACGAACGGTGGCGATTGATCGTGTGTTTGAGATCATATATAGATCCCTACTTGTAGACAAAGCGTCCATTGTGTGCACCCTTGATGTTTACCTTACTTGTCCGCCCCTCAATTCACCTGTGAATTTACCATTAAGCCCTTGGCAACTTTTTCCTTTGTCTAAATTGTGCACGCAATGACAACAGTCTCAATGCGGTTTCATTCATGCATATAATGTGTGATGATTTCTTTATCGTACGGGTTTGTTTAAATAGATAATATATATTTTTAATTAATATAATATTATGTAAAAAAATGCTTCAATGTGAAATGAAATGTGCACAAATGAGCGATAATTAGAGTACTGAATAATATTATATATTCAATATTATAGTAATAATATACTTAAGACTGTATTTACTAAGTAAAATTATAGTGGATAATATTATTTTATTTTATTTAATATTATATTTAATTTAATGGATTCAAACCCAGTATAATAAAAGATGTGATACAATAATACTAATTTGTAAGAATATTACAATCTAACCCTAATAAAATACATTAACTATTTATTATATATTGCATGTATATATTATTAGCATTATTTATATTGAAATACATATCACATTTAACATAACATATATACAATACACCATTAATATTAATATAATATAATGCAAGATATTATGTGACAGTACATACAATAATTCACACAACACAGCATCACTATTAATATTTCAAATATTAAGTGTATATTTCAAATATTAATACACTACAATGTATAATATATAAATTGATAGTCCATACTAATGATACATAATATTTCACAGTCTCAATTCAAAATATTATTTTACTATTTTTATATATCTCACTTCAAAGTTTATTTTTTTTAAAAAAAAAAATTATATACTAATATCACTGTTAACTTTTATTTAATTGCAAAGATATTAATCATTATATATAAAATTACTTGATACTTAAAGTTAAAATCAAAGACAAAAATATTAAAAATTCTTTACACTTTCACTCACTAAATAATAAAATATTATTATTTCTTAATCTATTGCAAACCCCAAAACCAGTTTGATTAGAAATAGAGGAAGTATATGTTGCCCCAACTAACAATAATGTATTATATATCATTACAATATACTAATTTGAGCTAGTTTCAATCATCACTATAATCAACTCATAATTATAAATGCACAAACAACAATATCATTCAAAAACATAAATGTAATATATTCCATAATTTTTTAATTGCATATTATTAATAATAAAATTAAATAAATATATACATATAAACGTAATATTATTAAATAAAATCAAATAATAACAATATTGAGCAGTTTAAATAACAGAAACTTAATATAAATTATAAATCAAAATATCTCAAATATATTTAAAATATCTCAAAAATAAAACATACTAATATTACCCAAAAAAAAAAAAAAAAAAAAAAGAGAAATAAATAAATTGTGATGCAAAGATGAATGAGTGGTAGGTTGGGAGGTAACAGAAATTGGGTACAGTTCACTTCAATTCAATAAATGAATTTTGCCCACATCACCACACACTCACAAATATTTATTTATTAAATAAATCCAAAAAATTGATGATGAAATACTATGGATCCCACCTTTTAAAAAAATATTACTAATTAAATAATTTATCAGGAAAATATATTTGTTGTAAAATATGTATTTATCTTTAAAATAAATAAATTCCTGATCTAAAATAATGGCATCCACCACTCCACGTGGCGCAACAGGCGCCGTAGATCTCTCGGCCATGATTAACCTTATGCAATCCAGTTTAGACAAGGAAATCGCCGATCATGATTTTAATGATTTGATCTATATTTAGAAAAAGGTCAATGGATTTACATGTTAGGGGCACTTTGGTAATTTCAATTCCTAAAGGCTCTGCAAAAATGACCTACATCCTGCATGGGCCTTTCTTTTTAAACTATATTTAGCTGTCCAGACAAAACAAACTTTCACAAAAATAATTAAGAAAAAATTATATGTATTTTAATATAAATATACATATATACAACAATGGATAAAAATTTTATATCCTATAAAGTTTCTGGTGGGCTATAGGAATTTTGGGCATATTATTTTGGCTTGTTACCCTATACTCTGCAATATTTTATAGTTTGGTATATATTATATATTTTGTAATAATTTTTTTAATAAAAAATAAGTCTACTATATTTTATCTCATCTAATCACTAAAATAAAATATAAATATACATTTTCACAATTAAAAATATATTAGTGAAAATAATAATAATTTAATAAAATTAATTATAAATTAAAATTAAAATAACTAAATAATTTAATTGAAATTTAAAACAAATGTAAATAAATTTTAAAATGTGATTAAAGTGTATACTTATACTTTTTTTAAAAATAAATAAATTAAGACGAAAATAGAAAGATGACACAAATTGAGTGGGACGGAGGGAGTAAAATAAATAATTTAATAATAATTTTACATTTTCTAATAATTGATGCTAATTAAGAAATCCTAATATTTACCTAAAGTATTTCAGGTATATTTTAATATATGTTTTCTATACAATTATATAAATGTTTTTTTTAAGCGAAACTAGGGCCCAAACGACCAAAATTTCTAACAAATACTTCCTCCACCTCCGAGCAATATATATATATTTTTTTTTACGAAAAGATTAAAGAATAATAATATTTAAATAATAATTGATGATACTTTAGGTAAAGACTTTTGTATCATTTGTGTTTTAATTGAAAGTAATAATATTATTATCTACATACATAAATGTTACTTATAAAAGTATTTATAATATAAAATATTTTTAAATTTACTAAAAATTTAAAAGGGCAAATAAAAATGATAAAATGTATAGTAGGGACGAAAAGGAGTATTATTTCTTAAAAACACTTTATCATGTTTATCAAATAATAATATCATCCTAGCCGATCAAATAATAATAATAATAATAATAATAATATCATCCCCACGTTTATTTATAATTATTGATACTCAAGACAATTTAATTAATTAGTTAAACTTTGTTTTCCTTGACTTAACATTCAACGCAATTATTCACAAAACCAATATTATTGCTGATATATAATTTTTAGTGTTTAGAAATGAACTAGTAACATAATTCGACATTTAATAAAAAAATTTTTTTATACATCTATTATATAATAACAAATGTAGTACAGCAAATAACATTATACTTATATTATTGCCATTTATTGTAATCACAATTAGATTCAAATTTAATTACCAGGAACCCTAATCACAATTAGGTTTACAAATGTGGGAAGCAAAAGAAATTGCAAAAAGATTCCTTTGTGGGATAGGAACAATTTTAAAAATATTAAAATAAATAAATAAATAAAAAGGAAAGGGAAATATAACTCCCCTTCAGCAGGCGATCCCACCGAATTAAATTAAATAAAATATAAATAAATTTCACCACAACCCCTATCTGTCTATCATCATCAAAAACCCATTTATTCATATTTCACCAACAAATATATATATAAATATATATATACATATATTTTATTTCAGCTGGTAATTAGTGTGACCCTCAGGAAAACCTGTAATTACAGATGCTAGGGGTATCAGCAGAAGTGATGGCCGCCGCCGGCGACGGCGACGGAGACGGCGGAGGCGGTGGCAGCAGCAGCGCTGAAATTGGTGGCCCTAGCTCCGGTCCCGGCGGCGGCGGCGGGAGAGGAAATCGGTGGCCGAGGGACGAAACATTGGCTTTGATCAAAATTAGGTCTGAAATGGATTCTGCTTTTAGAGACTCGACTCTTAAAGGCCCATTGTGGGAAGAAGTTTCCAGGTGAGAGATTAATTATTGATTTGATTTGATTTCATTTAATTTAATTTCTTTGATTTTGCGTGGATAAATATGTTCAACTTGAAATTGAATTTCTTGAATTTCATCTGTAAAGTTTGGATCTTGATCATGATTTAGTTTATTGAATTTTTTGGAGGTTTAATTTTCGATGAAAAAAGGGTTTTCATTTCATTAATTTCCGCGAGAATTCCGCAGCTTTCGTGGAAATTAATGTAATTATTTTCCGGGTTTTCGCACATCTGCTAATCTGATTCTGTTTCATAATACAAGAAAATGAAATTATTGAAATCTTAATTGAATCGAAAATGTTTCTGGGACTTTAGGGATTAAAGTTCTTGTTTTTATCTCTTTGTATGGTTCTTACAATCAATAACTGCTGTCAATTAATTTTTTAACCTGAATCATAATTTTATGCTTGGAATAATTTCATTAAATTTTTGTTCCAGGAAATTATCGAGTTTGGGATTCCAAAGAAGTGCAAAGAAATGCAAGGAGAAATTCGAGAACGTTTACAAATACCACAAGCGAACCAAAGGCGGCCGCGTCGCCAAATCCGACGGCAAAACCTACCGATTTTTCGATCAATTGGCGGCGCTGGAGAACCCGCCGCCGCCGCACTCCGCCGCGGCTGATGCTACTGTTTCATCAATTAGTCCAACTCCTTTGAGTGTAATCCACCCCAACACCACCACCGCCACCGCCGCCGCCGCAGCCACCGCTGCGATTCCGCCGGAGATACTACAATCAGATTCAAACTCCTCCTCCTCCTCCTCCTCGACGTCTTCCGACGAGGACATTCAGCGGCGGCGCAAGCGGCGGAAATGGGCGGACTACATCGGGCGGTTCATCAAGGAGGCGGCGGAGAAACAGGAGGCGCTGCACCGGAAGTTTCTAGAAACCCTGGAAAACCGGGAGCGCGATCGGACGGTCAGGGAAGAAGCGCGGCGCGCGCAGGAGACGGCCAGGATTAATCGGGAGCACGAGCTCCTGGTCCGGGACCGATCCATCGCTGCCGCCAAAGACGCCGCCCTGATTTCCTTCCTACAAAAGGCCACCGCCGCCGCCGATCCGCCACCGCCACCGCCGCCGCCGCCGCCGCAGCAGCAAAAACCGGTTCCAGAACCTTCCAAAACCGACAATGGCGACAACAACAACAACCATTCATCATTACCCTCTACATCGACTCCGGCATCGTCAAGATGGCCGAAAGCGGAGGTCCAGGCCCTGATAGACCTCCGGAAGAGCCTGGATCTAAAATACCAGTCGGACCAGGGTGCAAAGGGCCCGTTGTGGGAGGAGATGTCGGCAGCCATGGCCAAACTTGGGTACACCAGGAGTGCCAAGAGGTGCAAAGAGAAGTGGGAAAACATCAACAAATACTACAAAAAGGTGAAGGAGGCCAACAAGAAGAGGTCCCAAGACTCCAAGACCTGCCCCTACTTCCACCAGCTGGAGGCCCTGTACAACCAGCGGGCCGGGCTTTCTCCAATTACCCCTTCGGCCCAGCCCGAGCAGCCATGGCCGCACCAGCAGCAGCAGATAAGAAATGAGGAGGAAGAAGAAGAAGTAGAAGAAGAAGATGGTGGGGAATTCGAATTAATTCCAAACAAGGAAGCATCCATGGCAGAATAATTAATAAATTGGATTGGCAGAGGAGAAGAATATGGAGAGGAGACATGGAATGATCATAATCGATGTTCAAGAATAGGTAGAGCTGTTTGTTTGTTGTACTATAATTTAATTTATCTAAGTTTTTTCTTTTTTCCCCAAACATTATGATTTATTTATTAATTGGTTTGGAAAATAAAAAATAAAGGGGTGTATTTTTATTTAGTTCCTGAATATTTACTATGTATTTATTTAGAAAATAAATAATTTTTTATAAATATTTATATATTGTTTTGTATCGTATCATTTTGTAGTGAAACCGTTGTAAAATATTTATTTTGATTAATGTAGGGAAAATTATAAAATATTATTTTATAAAATTATATAGGACAATTGGGTGTAATAAAAGCAAGGGGCGTTAGATCCAATGAAATGAAATTAAAAAAGGGTTTATGTATGTATTGATATTGTTTTGTGTGTGTTACTGTTAATTTATTTGTTTATAAATATATATTTTTAAAATTCAAATAGAGGGTTAAATATAATAAATAATAATAATGTCATTATTGTAAAAAGATTGCATTCATTTAGCACTTATTAAAAATGAGATGTATTATTATCATCATTGTAAATATTTACTTATAAAATGGTAAATAAAAAAAAATAATAATGAACACATCATTATACATAAAATTAATTATTGCCTCTAACTATCTGAAATTTTATTTTCTTCAAAGTTTCAATTATATAATCTAAAAATATACTATTTTATCCTACAAAATATGAAATATAAACCTAATTATTTAAGCTAAAAATTAGTAAAGTAGACACATCCTTTAATTAATTATTTTATATGTATGTATATATTTTCTATCTTACAAATTCATCTGACACTACCTCAGAAAAACACTATGCTATATTTAATAAAATTGCATGTAATATTAATACTATGTCAATTGCAATAAATATTTTTAAACTAGTACTACAATTTTTGCCCATGTGAAGTGTCTGAAATGAATTCCGTACGCACTCAGATCCATTTTATTCAATTTTTATTAGTTACCGTGGCATATAATTTATCTCTATTTTTTATTTTCGTCTCTTTCATCTAATTTGTTCTTTCTGTTTTTTAAAATATAATTATACATTTTAATCATATTTCAAATTTTAAATATTATAATTCTTTTAATTTTAATTAAACTATTTAGTTATATTAATCTTAATTTATAATTATTTTTAATATATAATAATTATTTTTACAGATGTATTTCTTAATTACTTACTAATTATACTTTACCTAAATTAGCGTGTCTACGGTAACACGCACATATTAAGATTAGAAAATAGAAAGGCTAAAAATAAGAGCAAATTTTATTTGTAACTTTTTTAATTGAATAATTGCACATGAAGTAGGGATTGGAAATGGGGTCGAATTCAATTAATTAAAATCGATTTAAATTATTCATGCATTATTTATAATAAAATGGCCTACAAATTAGTGATAATACAAAATCAATATACTCAAATAATAATAATTTAGTCTAATAGAAATAATAAATAATAATAACTTAATTTAACTAACAACATATAATTTAAACTATAAATTAAATGTTTCAAGTATTAATTATTTAGTTACTTAGTATTCAATAAATTATATATACATTTTTTCGACTATGGAATACAAATATTTATTTGTAGTTGAATAAATTAATTTATATATAAAATATTCTTTATTTATATCTCATTTATAATTATACAAATATATGAAATATTTATGTTATAATAAAAATGATGGGTATATTTCTTTTAATAAGATGTCTCAACTATTATTATTTGAATTCTTTGTTTTTTTAAGAAAATATAAAAAAGTCTCTCATAAATTCAACATAATATTGATATCGTGTGGAATATGAATTAACCAATTTAGTACTACCTACGTCTGGTTCTAAGGGTTTTATTTATTTTTTGTGTGTTGATCTTTAAATATTAATTATTATATCAAAACGTGTATAAATTAAGAAAATTTTCAAAAATGCTTCAATTAGTATCTTGTAATACTAATAGAAGGATATTTGTACAAAAAAAATCATATAAATATAAAAATATTTTGAATATTAAGTGTAATGACGCAAAAGTTAAATGTGACCTTTAAAAGGCAGTATAAATTAATAAGATAGCATAAAAACAAAATATCAAAAATATATTTCAGATAATATGATGGTCCACTAATTGTGTGGTCTAAATATTTGATTAATATATGAAATTTAAAATATATATATGTGTAATATCACGTACTTTCTCCATCCTTCAAATTTATTATCATTTTTTTTAGTTCGTTTACTAAATTTATCTCATTACTAATTTTGACAAAATCAACAAATCAATATCTAATTATTACTCTCCATTCAACACTTATTTACAATAAATACGACTAACTTTATTACATTCTATTTCTTCATTTACTTTACTTTTTAATTAAATTTCCAAAAATATCCTCAATTACTTATCACTTTTTTAATCAAATATTTATTTATTTTTTTTAATTTCTGTACCGTGTCTAAATAGATTAATTTTAAACTTGTAATAGGGAAGGTAGATATATATAATTTAAAAAGTGTGTGAGTGTGTTGGGAAAAAAATGTCGTGTCACTATCATAACATTTGCCATATTTGGTCCACTTGTGGTGGGAATAGTCAAATTATAATTTTAGCATATTCCTACGTTTATTTAGTACTACTAATTTACTCCCTCTGTTCCAAATACCGTGTTACACTGTAGACACAGTATTTTAGGAGGGGTGCAACTAGTAGATAATTAAGAACGTATTAGTGAAAATAATTATTTTATAATATTATTAATTATAAATTAAGATAACTAATTAGTTTAATTAAAATTTAAAAATTCAAAATGAGATTAAATTGTATAATCATTTTAAAAAAGAAAAAATAACATATTATATAGGAGGGACACAAACGGCAACGTGGACATGATAGTATTAAATTTTCAATTATGGTTATTTATTGACTGACATAGTAAAAATGAATACTATTTATTTATGTAACGGTTTCTAATCAGGTAGTGCACTTGCAGGCAGCATTGGAAAGTGTACTAGGATGATTTTTATTTCTTTAATAATAATACTCCCTATGTCCATTAAATACGTATTTAATTAGTTATTTTTTGCACTTAGATATTTTAATAATATAATATATGTATATATATATATACAATTTAAAAAAATAAAATAAAATCAAATCAAAACTATAAATTATATACGATATGATATGTGTTGTTTATTCAATAAATTGGGTCCTATAGGCTATACGTATATTTTTGGATATGAAGAGGCCCAATAAGGCCCATTTGTATTTTTTAAAAAAAATAGAACTAGAATATATTGGGTATGAATTTGTTTAGGAGATGCCTCACAACTTATTTATTTTTATGGATATGAAGAGGCCCAATAAGGCCCATTTGTCATTTTATTAGTTCAAAAATAAAGTGTAGATATTTTTAAATTCGTACTTATTTAAATAAAATTAAAATACAATGATAAAAAAATCTTTATTTACAAATAATATATACCACAACTGCTATTTGAATACCACTATTATTTATTAATTTCTACACAGAAATCGAATATATACTTATATGACATTTTGTAAAAAATATACTATATGAGTTTGTTTGGTTGCCATTGAATTTGAATTTTTATTTTGTCTTTTATTTTAAATAATATTTTAATATAATATATTTGTCTACCTTTGTATATAAATTTCAAAATATTAATATTTTATATGTATATAGTAACATAGATTACTGAATGGACAATTGTACATTAATAACATTGTTGTAATAATATGTAAAATATAAAATTTATTAATTAATGTAAAAAAAAATATACAATTACTAAAAATAAAAACAAATAAATTTATTTTGAACAAATTAAATAAATCAATTTTGAACAGAAGGAATATTGTTATTACAAATATATATATATATTGTGGAAGGTGGTGCCATGCAATTGCTCGCGTGACATATTAATTAATAATTATATAATTGAGATAATAAGATAAACTAAAAAAATAAATAGAATAAAGGTTGAAAATTCGGTCAGGTTGATCTGACGGGTAGAATGGAATCACTTAATTTGGACGGTGGATCTGAAAGATGCAGCCCCTACCGTTAAATAGGCATGTGCGGTAAGAATGAGCACAAGGCTAGATGATAAAAGATAAAATTTAATTCATTAAAAATATAGTATATATATATATATATGTCGGCCTGCAATATGGAGTATATCCTTAAATTACACACAGTTTTTATATTTAATTAATTAAATATAATTATATGCTTTTTGCTTAGTATATTTGTGCTAATACTGTTTTTTAAAAAAAAAAAAAATAGTAAAAGGGTTAACGAATAGAATAAAAATGGATTCGTGACTAGAAATGTCAGGACAATAAACTAATCAAGATTGTCCCTTACGTGGCTGTCGAGGCCATTTTGTAGAAGGTGCAGGGAGTTCAGGACCAAAGGATATATAGTTCAAATTTCAAGCTTACTCATGGGCGTCTTTGGTTAGTAATTTAATTATTGTCGATAATGTAAAAAATATATTTTTTTCGTCTAATAATTACATATCTGTTTGTTTTTTTTACAAAATTTTAAAAATATTAATATTATATTGAAATGTAGTATGAATAAAGTAGAAATGACTAAAATAATCTTATTAGTATTGTGTGAGATAAAAGTAATGTCATTTGTGTAATATATTGTAAGTTAGAAGAATATTTGTAATGTTAGATAGATAGTACAGTTACTAAAAAAAGAAGTTGATACTTTATTATGGAACAGACTAAAATGAAAAAATGAATACTTTGTTATGGGACGGAGAGAGTATATATCTTTTTATGACATTAACTTCTTATAAAAGAATGTAATATATACTCCTATTATATATATATATATATATTGAGAATTGTATCAAATAAAATTTTGATTGAACAAATAAATTTTATATATCTTAAAGTTGTCACATTTTTTTTTTAATAGTATATAAATTTTTTCTAAAGTGATTAGACTTTACAGGAGATTTCGAATTAAACAATGCCCTGATATTTATATATTCCCACCCTATAATTATACTAGTAATTTAAGGCATAAATCATTATAGGTGGAATCCATTCTTTTTTCTTTCTCAGTGGTGATGATGATAATATATACCTCCTCTCTATATATACAAATTCAAATTCAGATACACATGCATATATATATATATATATATATACATATTGTTGGCCAAATTAAATAAAATCAATTAGAATGAATGATAAGGGATCATCATCTTCATCTTCATCATTTTGTTGTGTGTTGAGAATGGGGATAATGAAAAAGCACATGCCCCTTACTGCAATGGTGGTTTGCCAGCTCATATTCACGGCCATGTTTCTCCTCTCGAAAGCGGCCATTTCCTCCGGGATGAAGCCCTCCATCTTTGTCGCCTATCGACAGGCTGTCGCCACTCTCTTCTTGGCTCCTTTCGCCTACTTCTCTCATAGGTTCATTTATATTACGATCAATCATGACACATGTTATTATCATATGAACTATTATCCTATGTTGCTAGTTTATACTTCATATGTTAATTTATAAATGCCGTCATGTGTGTATATATATATACACACGGTGTAGGAAGACGTCTCCTCGACTTACACTCCCTTTGCTTTGCAAGATTTTCATTGTTTCCTCTTGTGGGTAAGTTTCCTAATAATTCGATGCTCTAAATTCTCTTTGTTTTTCAAAAAAAATAAATAAATATTTTTTTTCACTGGGAAATTTTCTTAAAAGAAACATACCCTCAGTTTCTTTGCTACTTACTATGCATACATATAGATATAAGCATTGTGGTGACACGTGTACGGCAGGATGGGGCTATCGCTGAATCTACAATACGCCGGGTTGAAGTACGTCTCCCCCACTTTCACTACAGTTGCCAACAATACAGTTCCTGGAATGGTCTTCATCATTGCTCTCTGCTTAAGGTATATATATTAATTAATATATATAAATAACTATATATATATACATATATTTATATTAATATTATTATTATTATTATTATTATCTTAATTATATATATTGTAGAATGGAGAGAGTGTCGATGAGTGAGAAACAAGGGCTGGCCAAACTGATGGGATCCATTCTGTGCCTATCGGGAGCTATGATTTTCACTCTCTACAAAGGCCCTGAATTGTACACACCAAATGCAAATGCAAATGCAAATTCACATTCAAATGCATATGCAAATGAAGATCCCTCATTCTCACTTTCATACACTAAACAACAGTCCATTATAGGCTCTGTCCTGGTGCTTTGTGCTTTCTTCATTTGGGCAGTTTGGCTCATCATTCAGGTCTGTTTCATTCTTCTTGTCCGTACACAAACATCCATCTTCATTTCAATTTAATTTAATATTTTAATTTAATTTGTGTGATTAATTAATTTCGTTAAATTTGTCGTGTAGTAGACTCCGATTTTGAAAGAATATCCGGCCGCCCTGCGCCTGACCACTCTGCAATGCGGCTTCAGCTGCGTCACCTCCGCCGCCTACGCCGCCGCCGTGGAGAGGCACGCGCCGTCGTGGAAGCTCGCCTGGAACCTCAATCTGTTCACCCTCATCTACTGTGTACGTTAACTAAATTTGCGTTTTTCATACATTGAAGTAATAAAGAATTAAGTAATTAATTGTTAATTAAAAATTGAAATAGGGAATTCTTGTGACGGGAGTGACGTATTCATTACAAGTGTGGGTGGTGGAGACGCGTGGCCCTGTCTTTACAGCCATCTTCAGCCCTCTCTCACTCATCTTGACTGCCATTTTCTCTGCCCTCATCTTCCATGAATCTCTTCACTGGGGAAGGTCTGCATATATATATATATTTTGTATATATATCTATATTGGGAAATCACTAAATTAATTTATTATATATGGTGCAGTGTATTGGGAGGTATGCTGTTGGTTTGTGGGCTGTACGGTTTCCTTTGGGGGAAATACAGAGAGGGACAAACTGAGGTGGCACCATCGACGGATGGGGTTCGTTTGGAGTCCGTCGTGGTTACATCTCAGCCGTCGGATCATATTCTCCACCAGAAGAACGCTTCCAGGGCTTGATGGGCTTAATAATAATAAGTTATTCTTTAATTAAAATTTGTAGTGGTGAGTTGGCCTATGTAAACCAGACCAATTTGGGCCGAATCTGCCTTGGCATGGATTGAAAATTTATTGGGCCAGGCCGATATGGAAGAAATTATACCGGCCCAAAATTGTCACTCTTGCTATAAAATTTGATAGTTTCCTCAAATGAGTGGCCTAGCTCAACTTTAGAGAGAACTGGGCCTGGGCCCAAAGTTTCACAAGTAACACGGCCCATGAGTGGCACTTACTCAAAATTCTAACTTAAAGTTATATCAATATTATGAATTAAATGTGATTATTTTATTTCAAGTAAAATAAGATTAACGCTTTGGAATCCATCGCTGCTTCCCAGCCGTCCGATGATAATCGGCGGCAATGGGAGGTGAGGGATGCTCTCAATATTTCATAATTAATTAAAAGTATTATTAGATGTATAAATTATACATTTATTTTTTTCGCGTTAATCTTTAAATATTAATTATTATATCAAAATATACTATAAATTAAAAAAATATTTTAATTAGTATTTTATAATATTAATAGAAATATATATATATAAAAAATTATGCAAATATAAAAATATTTTTAATATTAAATATAATAACGCAAAACGTAAATATATCCTTAAAGGCAAACAGATAAAGTAATAATTATTAAATGAATAAATATAGTATAAATTAAAAAAAATATAAAAATATTTTAATTAGTATTTTATAATATTAATAAAAATATATATATATAAAATTATACAAATATAAAAATATTTTTAATATTAAATATAATATCGCAAAAAGTAAATAAGCAAACAGATAAAGTAATTATTATTATTATATACTTTATGGACATTAAATAAAATTTCTCCCTTAAGACTCTACAATAAATTAAGTAATATTTACTGACCTTTCAATCTCAGTTTCACCTAATCCATTTATACAGTACTTAAATTGAGAAATTTATTGCGTATAAATAAATAATAATAACAACAAAAAAATTCTATACATTTTGGGGTTAAATTAGTTCACTTGTACATATATAGTTTGCTTCCAATTTTTATTATTTAGTTTACTATTATTATTATTTAAAAAATATAATTGATAAATATTTTTATTTCAAACAATATATAGATATTTATCCAAATATATGTATAATTTTTATATATTTTTTAATTGATTTTGTTCCTAATAAATTAAATTGTTATTTTAACATTAAATCATTTTAGTTATAGTACATATTTTATTTCAAATTTTAATATTAAATTATTTTGGTTATATTGCATATTTTATTCCAAATATATAATGTAAATCATAATTTATATTACATATTTCTTTTCGAAAAAGTTTGTGTTCGAACTGTCGTGGCTTATGTGGGTATTTGCATGGGTGGACTGATGCCGGCTCTATTTGAGTTTGGCGAGAATTAGTGGATGATGGTAGATGATGATGATGTTTTTAGTTCGAACTTACAGAAAATCCGGCGGCACAGATGATGTATTAAAATTGTTGTTATGAGTAAAGAAGATTTTGTTTGTTTTTCCTTTTGTTTTTTAAGCAGTAGAATGAAAAATTTATTTTGTAGAGTATTGTTGAATTATATATTTTTATTTCTTAATTTATTGTATGATATTTAGTGGAAATAGAACGGTTGTGTAGATTCTTGATATATTTTTTATTAATTAATATTTAATATATTTGTATTTAAAATTATAAAATAAATTTAAAATAAATGCATAGTACTATTCAAAAATAAATGCATTTATTTTACTAATTTTTTAAATAATTATATAAACACATATATATGTTTAAAAAAAAACATAGACTTAGGTTATAAATTTATTCTAGAATTACAATGTATATATTGATAAATAATTTTTATTTGTAATTACAATTATAAAGAAAATATAAAAAGTAATACTATTATATTATAATTTTATATTTAATTAAAAAATAAAAATAAAATACTATAAAATTTAATATTTATGGAGATAATATAATTTATTAATATTATTTTATTTTTTTATATTGATTAAAAATATATATATAATATATATATAAAGAAATTATTGTTAAATAAAAAATATATAATTATAATTTTTTTCGTTGATCTCACTGTCCATAGCACTGGTATTCCGCTGGTTGATTTAAATAAAAGAATTAAGGCAGCATGTTCCACCCTGAATTGTACTCAATCTACAAGTCAAATGTAGTCTGAATTTAGGGCCGTAGGCACAGTGCATAACAGTTATTGCCTTTAATTGATTGTATACATATTTCAATTATTATTATAAAAAAATGTCACAAAAGTCTAATCCAAATTAAATATTAAATTCAAATTAGAGGTCACTTTCTCAAACAACCTGGAAATTTTTGTCCATTAAATTAAGTGGCCAGCAAATTTCACAAAATTTCATCAGAATTATTTAAATTATTATTTTTATACTGAGATCTTTGTTGTGAATAAATTTAAATTCAAATTAAATTTAAATATGATGATTAGGCAAGTGGATCCTAATTTAAGTTTTCATTTTATTATTTTTATGTATTGTTAAATAGGATAAATGACATTTGTCCTCATTGTGATCTCATACCCTCTCTCATAGTATCCTTTTTATTTTATTTTATATTTTTAAATTTATTGGACTTAGGGAAATAAAATAAAATTTCTAGCTTACCTAACAAGCAAAATATTGTCTGTTTACTTCTTTTGTATTCTTATAAAATTTTATTGCAATTAATTTCATTGTTTATATGTGGGATTAAATTAATTTCGAAATCCGAGAGCCTAGCAAGACAAGCAGCAAGTTCAAAAAGTACAACATGACATTTTTGGGACAATATATTTTAATTTATATTTGTGTGTGTTTTTTAGACGATGAGATATTTTAAATATTCAGTTTTAGATTTAGTAGATTTATATTTAGATTTGATTTTATTCATAGATTAGATTACTTATATTTGAGTCTATCGAGTCTATTTTGTATTGCCTATATATATAGCTCTTTATTATCAATAAGACAATTTTATTATTGTTGATGTAATTTTTCAACAAAAATAAAGTAAAATTCAAAGATATTAAAAATATCCTTAAACTTGAGTAATTAGTGCCTGAGATTAGGAATCTCACTGTAACGTACAGAAAATAAACTGGAAAATAAAATACTGAAATTTAAAGTGGTGATCCCCAAATCTGACTTTGCTTTGTTGAAGTTGATTGAAGATACCTTGCCAAATGATGATCCAAATCCTTAAATATTCCCTGGGAAACCGTACTGAAAACCGTCACCCGAACGGTTACAACGTCTCCTTCTCAACCGTCTTCCCACCTTTCTCATGCTGACACGTGTCCCCAGCAGACCAAAATTCCCTATATTTCACTCCTTGAGCCGACCACAGACCTTCCGCTCTTTTGGCCCGACTTCGTCCTTCGTCCGACCTACTTCTTCGCCCGACCCCACTTGGGCCGACCTCCATATCAACCGCCCCCTGTCTTTGATCAAAGGCCTCCGCGTTTGTCCGACTCCTCCTTCTATCCGACCTACAGTTTACCCGACCTGCGGATATCCCATCTCGACGACTTTTCGTCTCGAGGACCTCCCGACTTGAAAACCTTCCGACTCATCGTCTTTCCGTCTTGCGGACCTCCCGCCCTGAAGACCTTCCGACTTGAGGTCTTTCCGTCTTGCGGACCTCCCGACCTGAAGACCTTCCGACTTGAGGTCTTTCCATCTTGCGGACCTCCCGACCTGAAGACCTTCCGACTTGAAGTCTTTCCGTCTTGCGGACCTCCCGACCTGAAGACCTTCCGACTTGAGGTCTTTCCGTCTTGCGGACCTTCCGACCTGAAGACCTTCCGACTTGAAGACCTTCCGACTTGAGGTCTTTCCATCTTGCGGACCTCCCGACCTGAAGACCTTCCGACCTGTATTTTCCTTAGAAATAAATAAATAAATTTATTTTCCTTGATTTCCTCACGGTGTCCTTCAGCCAGTTCAATCAACCCTATTGCCAGGCCCATTCTTCTTTTTACCTTGGGCTTTTAACCTAATTCTAAATTTCGTACGTAACAACTTGCCCGCCGCCAAGGGACTTTCAAACGCCATTTAACAATCAATGTTTGGAAGTTCATAAAGCACTACCTCCTTAGCAACTACACCAGTTACTGCAACACTCCTGGTTAACTTCCTTCTTCGCAATACAAGCCTGTGTGAATCACAATCCCAAAACATTCTAACTATGGCGAATCAATACATTCCTGCCCTTCCTTTCGACGGAACCCTTCCAGAAGGTCCATTTTTAGCCTCGAAAGTACTAACTCCGACGATCCGTCCATATTGCACTACTCCTGAAGATTCAAATCGGATGAGAGAAGTTTTGGAATCTCGCAACTCCTTGGCTATCAACAATCCCAACTACCAAGCAGTTCGCATCCGAGACAGCATCAAGACCCATCTCACAGACCCAAAAGATCTGTATCGTGCTTGGTATCGACGAGTAGCAGAACACTTCCAGACCCAATGGCGATCCCAAAAGATCGACCAAGCAATACTACTGTCCACCATGCCTATCAACCTGCATGAGAAGGTGCTGTTGGCCATGTCCGCCTTCTGGAATGCGGAAAATGGGACTTTCCTTTTGCCATCGGCCCCCTTTGGCCCAACTCTTATGGACGTGGCCATGATCGCACATCTCCCAGTCGTGGGTGAAGACCCTGTAATGGGAGCCCTAGATGGGCAGGAGCCATCAGAAGACCATCCGGGATGGTCTTTACAAGGTGTGAAGGAATGGGGTTGGACAAAGTTCGCAACCGACCAGCAAGGGGCTCCAGGGACTCCTGTAACCGACCGGGAGCATACTGCCTTTATCCTGTTCTGGCTTTGTAGGTACGTCATTGTTTCCCCTTCCAAAAGTGTTCTCCTTCTCACCTCGACCTGGCCATTCATATTGCGTCAGGTCGGTTCTTCTCCCTTGGTACTCTATTTTTAGCCAATCTGTTTGAAGGACTCACCAGGGTTAGCCTTCGTTTAACAGATAACGATAATAGGAAATTAGACACTGCCGCGTCGGGTCCTTTTTGGTTTTTAGAACTTTGGTTCCGTCTTTACTTCCC